CGCACGGCTCGGGGCGGATCACCTGGAGAGGGGGAGCAGGGTGAGGGCTCTCCTTGTTGCACTACCACCCCTTCATCGCCCCAACAAAACCAGCCCCCACCATCTCCATCCATCCCCTGGTGCAGGCTGGCAGTGCTGGGATGGGAGGGATGGCGCTTTGCCCCCCACCCCCCTCCTGGACCTGCCTCCCTTCTCCATAGCGGCCAGGAAGATGGAGGGAGGCTGGGGCACACACCGTTTTGGAGGTGAACTGGTGCTGGAGTGGCAGGATGCCCCGTGGAGGTGAGGGGAAGGGGGCTGGTGCTGGCTGCCCTGTGGAACCACCCTCGGTGTGGCTCTCCTGCCCTGGAGCACAGCAGCCTGGATCCTCCTTGGTGCCCCACACTGTGGTCAGCTCTGCAGAGAGAGAAGGTAGTGGAGGGGGGATACAAAAGGCAAACCACCCCAGCTGGGATGTGGGGAGGCTTCCCACCTCCCAGAAAGCCCCTGCAGCATCCCAGCTGTCCTGGGACAAACTCCAGAGGACCCCAGTTCCCTCGTGGTGGGAACAAGCGTCCCCCAGCAGATTCCCTCCCTCCCCATGATGGCAGCACCCCGAGGGTGGTCCCACACCACCCATGAGCTCCCTTCTCCAGCCCCTCCAGTGACCTGCGTGCGTGGAGACACGGTGTCCCTGGCGAGAGCGGCGGCGTGGCACCAGAGCAGCAGGCAGGAGGTTCCCAGCAGGGCCTGGGACCTCGGCAGGAGAGGACACAGAGGGGACACTCACCTGCCAAGATGAAGAGCCGTGAGAACATGCTTGGCTGCAGCCCCATGGCTCTCCAACATCTCCCCATGAGCTCTGCTCTGCCCGCTCCCCATCCCTAGGGTCCTGCACAGCCTGGGATGCTGTCACCATGGGTACGGGGGGATACAGACTGCAGGGCACCGGTCCAGCACAGCCAGGGATGCTGTCCCCACTGGGGCCAGGGGGATACAGGCTGTAGGGCACAGGCACCCAGAGGGGACAGCTGAGCACCCCCAGACCCCACAGCACCCACGGGCCCACAGGACTGAAGGTTTCAGCATTGCCTTCTGGCACCAGCACAGCCCATGCACCCTGTCACTGCCTAGGGCACATTGGTGTCCCTACTCACGGTGTTTTGGGGTGCCACAGAAGACCGGTGCCGCTTCGCCACCACCACAGGGCCGATCTGAGGGGCCAGGGACACACGCTGGGGACAGAGCAGATGGGATGAAGTGTAAGCAGGGACCCCTTCCCTGACTCTACCCCCCACCCCAGGGCACCCAAGCCAAGTGGTCTCAGCCCCACGAAAGGTCCTGGTCTCACGCTGCCCTGCAGCATTGCCTGCCCCACACCAGGCGCTATGGGGACCCCGGCCCCCCAGCTGGGTCGGAGCCAGCCCTGGGGCTGGGGGAAGCTGGGCCAGGCCTGCAATGCAGAGATGTGAGCGGAGCTGGGTGCGGGATGCCCACACGTGCGGATGAATTATTGAGGAGCCCGGCTGGGCCACGGTGGAGGGTAATGGAGTTTCTATTGATCGCGGGAGGTTTGCTGAGAGACGACGCTCCCAGCCCAGCATCAATAAATTAAACCCCCTGCCAGGCTCCTTGCAGCCTCCCGTGCTGGGATGGAGAAGTATCTGGGTGCCCCAATCCTGCATGGCCCAGGGCCAGCACCCCAGCCCGGGCTGCTGACCTGTGAGGGCAGAGAGCCCCAGGGGCATGGTGCAGGAGAGCTGGGCGGACCTGAGGGATGCTCAACCACGTAGGGACACAGACCCCACCTCAGCACCAGCCCCCCCCAGGCTGCCGCATCCCAGCAGTTCCCTCGTACCTGCCTCTCCTGGGCTTTGCGCTTCAGGGTCCGCACCACCGTCATATCAACATCCTGAAAAGCAGAGGGGAGGCTGGGAGCTGGCAGGGCTGCACAGGGCCCTGGGCACCCCCAGCAGCCATGCTGCAGCACCGGGGCAGCCCACCCCTAACCACGGCCATGCAAAGGGGCTGCCCCACTGCAGGGTGAACCTTGGGACTTGCAGCAGGTCGCTCCTTACCACGTCATCCTCAGTGCGGTCATAGCTGATGTCTGAGTGGGACAGGAGGGACTGGCACGACTCATCCACCGCAGACGACCTGCGGAGTGAGCTGGGGGTCAGCCCAGCTGGGGCAACTTGCTCCCCTGTGGCCAGCAACTCCTCGTACAGCCATTCCTGGGAGCCCAGAGCTGACACCTCTGCAGAGCCTGAGCATCCCTGTGCCCAGCAAGCCCCCCCGAACCCCCCAGGGGTGAGGGGACGAGGGGCACAGCTGAGCCCAGGGCTACCCAAGGGGCTGGGGCAAGGACCACTAGCCCTGCTCACCTCCTGCCCGGCACCAGGGCCGCCCCAAAGCGCCGGCCAGCCAGGGTACTGAGGACAGAGCACTGGTCCCCGCTGCCCCACGGCTCCCGCATCAGGGACTCAAAGACCAGCTGAAGTTTGCGCTCCTGCAGGCAAAATGGGGCAGCGGTGAGCAGGCTGGGGTCCCCACAGCCAGCCCCGTGGGGTGTCAATTTAAGAGCATTAAATCCATGTACTTTTAAAAAAGACCTCATTTTGTAATGAATGTATGTATGGCTCGTTCTCTCTCTCTTCATATACCTATATATGTAAACACAAACACACATATATTTCTTTCCTCAGCATCATGAAAAATGGAATGGCCTATAGGTAAAATGCCTATACACAAAGCTTCATTGTATAAAAATCTGGCTCCTCCCAGCAATCCCAAGTATATATTGCAGAAGTTGCCGTGAAGGAGTTAAAAGTACCATTCACCTTCTCTTGTCTTGCCTTTGTGTTCAGGAAAAATTGTGCCTATATTTAGAAAGTAGAATTAGCACTGAAGCAATTTTCACATAACTGGTCATTCAGCCTCCTCAAGTATTGTTTGTGGTATCTGCCTTCATGCAAGAGGATGGGGCCACATAAAAGCAATCACAAGGATGGAAATGTTCTCAGCAGGAGGAAAAGGGATTATCAAAAAGCAGAGGAATAAGACTTCCAAATGTTTTGTAGTCCTGGGCATCCATATGCCATTTGAGCTATGCAGAGTGTTAATAGATAGATCTAAAAATAAAGAATTCATTATTTATTAATTACTAAGCTTTCAGAGCTGAATATGTTTGGCTAATAAGCTGCATCAGATCGCATCCGTAGGAAGACACATGGATATAAATTGTCTGAAGTGGACATTTACAGGTCTTCATGAGGCCATTCAGGAACTTAGAGATAAAGTTACTTTTCTTCTAGGGAAAATACATAGAACAGTGCCATTTTTTAAATAAGCTTGATGGCATCTATGTGTCATCCTATACTGCCCATGTCCAGCTTCCCCTAGGTAGATATGTGTAATTCCAGATTTATTTCAGAACGAGATTTCTCCAAAGGAAAATATGGTCCAAGGGAAATATACCAGAGAGTAAATTAAATGAAGAAAACAAGCCACTGATAACATAGGATGAATGCTCTTTGTTGGGTTCTCATGACCTTCCAGCACTTTGGGATTAGCGAAACAAACTGCTGAATGCATTAACACATCCTTGATGTATTAATGAGTTAATTTGTGAGTGGGACACCCTGGACCACTTTCTCAACAAGTCCGCATCTATATTTGCACCGTTGCCGTATGCTGAATGGAGAGAGATTAGCAGGAAAGACTGGAGTGATGGTGACTTGTTCTGCGGTCTGATGTCTTTTTACGGTCGAAGGAAAGAGGTGCTCTGGTACCTGGAGAGGTCCAGTCTCTCTCCACGCTGCTCTGTGTGGCATAGGCCAAGTTCAGGGCCAAGGCATGGGTCTTAAACATTGTAGTGATTTTTATGTGAATTAGACTGAAATGATGACTGCTCACTGTTATCATTTAATCACTTAAATGATAACTGGCCATTGCAAACACACACACACTCTCACACACACTCGCAGCCCCCCCGCCTGCCTCTGACCTAGAGAAGGGTTTTTTTTCACCCCATGGGCACATGGCAGTGGGTCCCCGCCAGCACCCCGGTGCCTCTCGGAGGTGGCTGCAGGTTCAGCTGCACCGGTATCGCACAGGGCCCAGGTAGTGACAAGCGAGGAGCATGGGGGAGCACCCCCGCGTCCCAGGGATGTGTGTGAGGTTCTTGGTGAGAAAATAGCCGGGGTTTATCCTGTGCTATAGGGTCTGGGCAGAAAGGACGCCACCCCGAGGGCAGAACCTCATCAGGGTCACTGTGGAGCCGTGCGGCGCTGGGGACCCCAGCTGGGACTCTGCCTGATGGGGTGCTGCTGCCCTGGGCCCCAGACAGCCCCGGGGCAGGGTGCCCCCCTTGGGGACAGAGCCTGGCAGGGGGCTGGGACAGGCTGGCAGCACCCCAGCGGGGCTGAGCTCCATGCGGTGCCGGCGAGCAGGGAGCAGAGGGTGTTTGTCAGAGGAGTTCCTTCCTCCCAAGGTTGAATATGAGTCAGGTTTTGGTGCGACTTTAATTACTGCTGGATCGATAGGCTCAGCACGGCCGAGCAAAATCCAATCGCAGCCCTGGGGGCCTGCCTGCTCAGCCCTCCCTGCCTGCTCAGCCCTCGCTGCCTGCTCAGCCCTATGCTGCCTGCTCAGCCTCCTCTGCCTGCTCAGCCTCCCCTGCCTGCTCAGCCCTCCCCTGCCTGCTCAGCCTCCTCTGCCTGCCCAGCCCTCCCTGC